ATTTTTTGAGAAAGCACCATAGTCTTCCATAGTGGTTGCACCATTTTACACTCCCACCAACAATGAATAAGCATTTCCGTTTCTCCACAACCTCACCAGCATTTGATGTTTGCTGTTCTGTTAAATTTTGCTATTCTTACTAGGTTGAGGCCACACTCTTCCTCATAAAATCTAGCCACCTGACTGATCTGTTCCACATACAGATTGAAAAGGTATGGAATCAGGACACATCCCTGGCACACTCTTTTTTAGACTTTGAACCATGAAGTGTTCCCTTGCTCTATTCTGGGGACTGCTTCCTCATCCAAGTGTAGGTTTCACATGAGCTCAATCAGGTTTTCGGGGATTCCCATTCTTCTTAAAGTGAGCCACAATTCGTTGTGGTCCACACAGTGAAATGCCTTTGCATAGTCAAGGAAACACAGATAGACATTCCTCAAGATCCATCTGACATTGGCTATGGTGTCCCTAGTGTCATGGCCTCTCCTAAACCCAGCTTGTACTTCTGGCAGTTTTCTGTCAATGTACTATAAAAATGATGGGTTTTGTTTGGTTTGTTTTTATCATTTTCAACAGGACTTTGCCTGTGTGTGATATTAGTGATATTGTTCAATAACTTCCACACTCTTTCAGATCAACATTTTTGGAATGGGAATAAATATGGATCTCTTTCAGTCAGTTATCCAAGTAGTTGTTCTCCAGATTTCCTGGCACAACTTGGTCCAGGGAAGTATCTGTTTGTTGAAACATGTCAATTGGTATTCCATCAAATCGTGGGGCCAAGGCCTTAGATCAAGGCTCCAGAGAGAAAAACCTGCTTCAGCATGTCTGGAAGAGCTTAACACCTTTCTGAGCAGGGCATAGAGTGGATCATGAGGACGACGGTCATGGCTGGCTTGACCGAGAAGACTATCTCTGACCGTAGAACTGTATCCTGAGTGTTCCTGATCCTGAATTAGAACCTAATATTTACTTTCCTGTTGATGTTGTGTACCATCAAGTCGGAACTGACCCATAGCTGACCCTCCGGAGGGTTTTCAGAGGCAGTTAATCACAGGAGAGGAGATTTCTCATCCTTCTCCGCAGAGCAGCTGGTGGATCCGAACCACTTGCCTTCGGGATTGCAGCGCAGCTTCTTCCCAGTAGGCCCTAACGACGAGTATCGTCTGTGAATTCTGAGCACCGTGGGAGGATGAGCCGGTGTCTGAGTTGGTAAGATACAGGTTTTAGAGCGTGAAGCCCTGCAGTTGTCTCTGACCTCATGGAAAGAGGTGCTGTGCTGTTGATGGGAAGCCTTCCCCCTTACGTAGTTCGGTGGAGGGAAAACACTGCTGCCCCACACCCACACCATTTTCCCACTTCCTAATTTTTATTATTTTTTTTAATCAGGAGGCTATTTCTCATTTCTATTATCAGATAAAGCATGCATCCAAAAGAATGCATAAATCACATATATTCTGTTCTAGGAATAGCTAGAAAGTAGGCCACCATGGCATTCCCATGGTATGGTACCCCCATTGATTCTAGGAGACAGAGCCTTACAAGGGGCCCAAGGTGCCTCCTTCCAGCCGCTCCAGAACACAGGCCTCTTGGACTGTCCTTGCTGTTCTCTGTCTCCTTCTTTCTTTGTAATTTAGCATTATGACAGTCACACTCGAGTTTTCTTTTTCCCGTTTTCAAAGCTAACATTAATGGAGCCATCCTGATGCAGGACCTGGCTTCTTCACGAGACATTTCTTTGCTTTTACAGGTTTATCCTAGAGAGGGTGAAACCAGACTGCTTCTTGGAGTCAAAGATTCTGAAGCTTCGTCTGACATACTTTGGACATGTTTGTTGCAAGAAGGGACCGGTCCTCGGAGAGGGACATCATGCTTGGGAGGGTGGAGGGACAGTGCAGGAGAGGAAGACCCTCAATTAGATGGATTGATTCAGTGACTGAGGTAGTGGGGGTGGGGTGTCAGAGACAGTAAGATGAGCATAGCATAGAGCAGGGTTTAGGGCTGTTGTTCATAGGGTCGCTATGAGTCACAGGCTACTCGATGGCACAAAACAACAACTCAGAGGGAGCTTTCGCAGCCTAGTGGTAAGAATCTATGCTGCCCTCCCAAAGGCACTTGGTTCGAATCCAGCAGCTGCTGTGAGGAACAAGCATGGGTAATCTCCTCCTGCGTGATTTACTGCCTCTGAAAACCCACTGGAGGGTGAGCTTTGGGTTGGTTCTGATTGGAGGGCACACAACAACAACTGCAACCATTGTTAGAGGGTGTATCTGCTGGCAGCTGTGGAGGAAGCCGTGCTAACTCAAAAGCCACACTTCTCTAGCAGTTCAAATCCACAAGAGAAAGATGGGCCATCTGTGCGATTTACAGCTTCAGAAATTCAGTGGAGGGTCAACTATGAGCTGGTTCTGACTCAGTGAGCTGAGTTTAAAATTGCATTAATACGCCCATTAACCAATGTATATGGATAGAAAAACCTATGGTATATTCACACAAGAGAATACGACACAAAGCACTGAAAAACAAGGAACTCATAAAATATTACACAACATGGGTGGCTCTGGAGGAGTGACCCTTTCCACCCTTCCAAGAATGATGTCCTTCTCCAAGAACTGATCCCTCCTGGCAACATGTCCAAAGTTGGTGAGGCAGAGTTTCAAAATCCTTGCCTCCAAGGAGCAACCTGGTTTCGTCCACTCCAGGACAAACCTGTTTGTCTTCTTGGCAATCTATTGTATGTTTGACACTCTCCTCTAGCACCACAACTCAAAGGCATTGATTTGTCTTCTGTCATCCTTCGACATTGTCCAGCTCTCAGATGTACAGCACACAATTAAGATGACTATGACCTCAACAATGAAGAAATGGAAACCCTAAGTCTCTGCAAACTTTCATTAAAAGTAATTTTTATAAAAGAAGACAATGGCCTGGATCAGGGACACCTTAGTCTTTAGACTGATATCATTGCTCTTTAGCACTCTGGAGACATACCTTATGGCATATTTTCCTAATGCAACACATCTTTTTTATTTCCTGACTGCTGGTTCCAAGAGTATTGACTGTGGATCCAAGCAAGATGAAATTGTTAACAATCTCAGTCTTTTCTCCATTTATCATGATACCGCCAGTTGTAGCCCTATAAAGGTTATCATCCTGGAAACCCAGTGTAGACATTCTACTCTGTCCTACAGAGTCATTGTGAGTCAGAATCAATTAGTCAACAATGGTATTGGTTTGTGAGGTTTTCAGACCATCTATGCACTTGGGGTTTGGGAAATCCACCACATGATGTCAATTAGTACTACAAAGATATATTTGTTTTCTTGGTGGTCCATGTTCAAGACTCCTCTACAGCACCACAACTCAAAGGCATTGATTCTTCTGTCATCTTTCATCATTCTCCAGCTACTGTGAAGACCATGGCCTGGATTAGGCACACCTTAGTCTCTAGACTGATACCGTTGCTTTGCAGTACTCTGGGAGGTCCCTGACAGCAAATTTTCCCAAGGCAATCTGTCTTTTGACTTCCTGACTGCTGATGTTAAGAATGTTGAATGTGGAGCTGAGCAAGCTGTAACAACCTCAATCTCTTCTCCATCTATCACGGCACTGCCGATTGTCCCACTGGTGAAAATCTGTCTTCTTGATATTGAGCTTCAATCTCTACTGAAGACTACAGTGTCCTTGACCTTCTACAGCAAATGCTTCAGGTATTCTTCAGTTTCAGCAAGCAAGATTGGGTCATCTACAGAATGTAGGTTGTTGAGTTTTCCTCCACTCCTGATGCCACATTCCTCCTCATAAAAATGATCTGTTCTGCACATAGATTGACATCATGCTTGGAAGCGTGGAGGAAGAGTGCAGGAGAGGCAGACCCCGGATGAGATGGGTTGATATAGCAACTTGGGCAACGGGGATTGGTGTGTTGGAATGAGTCAGCCTGGCTGAAGACAGGGTAGGGTTCAGAGCTGCTGTACAGAGGGTTGCTATGGGTCACAGGCAACTCGACAGCACATAACAACAGTGATAACAAGTGCTGCACTTCCATTCAAAGTTGGCTTTGTGACTAGAACTCCCTCCATTCTTCAGTCTTTACTCTGCAAGTCTGGGCCTGGGTTTATTCTTTGGGGACCTTGTTTAATGAGGTCGGAATCACCCATGACATGCTGTCTTGGGTGAGTCTGTGCCTCATCTTTGAACCACAAAACCATGGTGTTAATAAGCTTCTCATGGTCAGTAAATCTCTTTAAGAGAAATTAATTTTAGGCTTAAATTCCTTTATCTGGGTTCCCACCTTAGCCCAGATTTTGATCTGAGAGTTTCTTCCTTGATAGAACTCTTCAATGGTCTTGGTTCCTGGAGCTCTGCTGGCCTAGTGGCAAGAGGCTGTGTTGCAATCCCAAAGGTGTGCAGTTCGAATCCACCAGAAGTTCCACACACAAAAAGAAAGATGAAAATCGTTTTGTTCCTGTTATTCATTGTGGTGAAAATATACCGAACAAAAGCACCCATTTCCTCAACAATCTCTGCATGGACCGTTCAGTGATTTCCAGAGTGATTTTTTTTAAAAAATCAAATCACTGTTTTCCATAATGTTTAGACGTTTCTACAGAAGGATGCTTTTGGTACCAACCTGTCCAATGAACAGAAAGTGTCCCAGTCCTCCTTGCTCTCTGCACTCATTCCCTTGACTCCTGAATTTCATCACAACTTGTGTGATGGTGCCTGCCAGATTCAGGTGTGGAGAACCATTCACCATCTCAACACCTCGGGGTCCCCGCCCATAATGTGGGGTGTGAGTAGGACTGGAAGATCTGCCAGCCCCACCCGTCCGTCCCCCACAACTGATCCTCCCAAGTTCCCTTTCAGTGGTGGCCACAGCTCTCTCCCACCCACATGCTTCCTGGTGGGATGTCCTCAGCTCATCTCCATCCACATTCTGGCTGTTTTCTGCCCCAACAGAGGGACACAAACCTGGCTCCAACTCTGTGGATACAGACATGCTGCCTTTGCTGCTGCTGCCACTGCTGTGGGGAGGTGAGTGGACTGAGGGAGGAGAGAGAAGGGTATTATGGGGTGGGAATGGAGTTGCTCTGAGTCTCTGTGTACCCCAGGGTCCCTGCAGGAGGATGACGGGTACGCGCTGCAGGTGCCAGAAGTGGTCACAGTGCAGGAGGGCCTGTGTGTCGCTGTGCCCTGCACATTCTCCTACCCCTGGTGGGTGTGGAATGACCACGTCCTGCTCTACATCTACTGGTTCCGCAGTGAGGACAACGCGTTCTACAGCCGTTCTGTGGCCACAAACAATCCCAACCGAGAAGTGTGGCCAGAGACCCAGGGCCGATTCCTCCTCCTCGGGAACCTCAAGGAAAACAACTGCTCGCTGGGCATTAGGGACGCCAGGAAGAGTGACACGAGCACCTACTTCCTCCGAGTGGAGAGAGGGAAGAACGTAAAATACAGCTACCGAGATAAGAAGCTAAATTTGCAGGTGACAGGTATGGCAGGGGTTCCAGGAGAGAATCCTAAAATGAGGGAACCCAGCGTCTGTGCAGAGGCAGGAGAATCCCTGCTCCTGGACATGCGGGTAGGATGGTTGGGGAAGGCAGAGGACCGCGGTCAGCTGAGGCACCATTCCAAGTCTCCTCCCTCTTCAGAGCAGACATCCCCTTCTCTTCTTTTCAGACCTGACACAGAAGCCTGAAATCCACATTCCAGAACCTCTCGAGTCTGGCCGCCCCACCAATCTGACCTGCAGGCTTCCAGGATCTTGTGAGGGAGGGAGACCGCTCATCTTCTCCTGGACAGGGGATACCCTGGGCAGGCTGGACCCCAGGACCCTCCAGTCTTCAGTGCTCACCATCACCCCAAGACCCCAGGACCACGGCACCTATCTCACCTGTCAGGTGAGCCTCAGAGGATCACAACTGACTACAGAGAAGACCATACAGCTCCAAGTCTCCAGTGAGTAGGGGTGGGATGGCTGGGAGCCCGAGAACATGAAGGTGGAAGAAGTCATATCCTGGGATCCTTTTCACAGCAGCCCTTGGAGGAGGATATCTTAATCCTACCCTGCCCTTTTCCTTTTTTTTTAATTTTTATTTTATTTTTGTGTGCGTGTACCGTCAAATCAGATCTGACTGGTACAGGAGGAGATTGTCCCTCCTTCCCCAGCAGAGCATCTGGTGGATTCGAACCGTGCGCCTCTGGGATACCCTGTCCTTTTCTGATGCCTCCTTTGAGCACAAGACAAAAGCCTCCCTGCCCCTTCCCATATCTTCCCTTCTAGACACCCTGAAGCCTGAGGCCATCACTATTTTGCAAAGAAAATGCACAGGTAGGAAAGACCCTGTCTCCTTTGCGGTTGACAGAGAATCAGGTCTCTCCCAGCTCAAGACTTAGCTGGTGTCAGAGAACAAAAGAAGGGAAGACTGGGCTTGGAGAGGTGCTTCACTCCTTGCCCCTAGTCCTTGTGTAGAATCTGCTCTGATTCTTCCTTCTCCCCTAAATCTCCCTTGAATGGACGCAGCGTTGCATCTGCCTGCTCCACTTGTCTGGACTTCTGAGCATGCCCCGTCTCCTTTCTGGTCTGATCATCTTTTCCCAGCATCTCCAATGTTCACAGACACATAGTCCACTCCTGGATCTCACTGCCCTCTTCACTGTCCTGGATGGCTCTGTGCCATCACACCATCTTTAACCTCATCCCGGTGTTCTTTCTTCCAGACACAGCCTAGTCCTGAGCCCCAGATCTGCTCTGAGTTCCCTTTTTGGTGAAGGTACCTCAACAGCGCCCTTCTTCCAGAAATCACTGGTAGTTTCGCAAACACAATTCTCAGATAGTTTCTCTCTTCCTCTTCGCTTGGCCCCAGCTCCACCTAGATCATTGCCCCTTCCTCCCCTCGGTCCTCCCTGCCCCCTTCCTGTGTAATGTTTCTAATAAGCCCTTCCACGCCCAGAGTTTACGGTGCCTCGATCCTACTCACACCACCCTCCATCTCAAAGCACTCCTAGACAAAGTCCAGGGCTCTCTCCTTGGTCCTGGAGGCGCCTCACGACCTATTCCTGCTCCATTTTCCACCACGGCCGGGTCTTCAGTGACTTGCACCAGGCCCTCCACGTCACAGTGGAGACTTGCATGCATTTTGCACACACACCAGGCCGGCTTCGTGCCTAGCTTCTGAGTTGCCCGCACAATACTGCATAAAACAGAATTCTTCCTTCTTCCAGTCACCCGCTGGATTCAACAACCAGGTCTCCTGCAACTGCCTCCTCACTCCTCTGTCTCGCTTTTCCCCCTCTTTGCTTAGTCCCTTACAAAACGTCAGTCTGGCTACACAAATCATTCGGCTCCGCTCCCCGCCCTCACTGCAGGGCCAGTCCATTGGCTGCCATCTCTCACGGCCCAGCCCTCTCACGGAACTCCCCGCCTCTCTGCCCTTCCCATTAGCTACTGGCCCCGCCCATCACTGAATTCAGAACAGCTCCGCCCACCGGATCACTCAAAGCCCCGCCCCTTGGCTGAGTGCCCAGATTCTTCGCCTCATTCTATGTCCCGCCCCGCCCTCTGCTCCGCCTCCCTTTCCAGGCCACGCCTCTCCCCAGCGCCCATCCCCACCTCCGCCCCTATGAGCTCACAGATGCTCTGCCTGGCTTCACTCGCTGACCCCGCCCCTCCAGTCGCCCCGCCCATCTCTAAGCACCGCCTCCCGAAGACCACGCCCCTCTGTGCTACATCACGCCTCTCTCCTTTCTCGATCACTTTCTCCCCGCCCCCCCATCTAACAGATGATAATGACACTTGGCTGCTGAGAGCAACTCCCCTGCCACTCTGAGGCCTTGGAGGGAAAAGCCTTGAGCCCTTCGCAGCCCTGAGTGGATGAGTCTCTGGAGCTGCTCTCTGATATCAGAGGCTGGGCTTAAGGGGGTCCTCACCAGGCTCCCCACTTTCATCCTTGAGGCTCACCCAGGTCTCCTTGTAGAAAGGGAGACTCTGGAGGTAGGAAGTCTGGTCAGGGGCTGTCTGTGGGAGGGGCAGTGTCCTGGCACCCAGCTTCACAGTCTTCTCGCCTTCTTATAGGAAACCTCCTCTACTGTCACGGTTCCAATACTGGTGAAGGAGGATCCGGGCCCCTGATCCGGACGCTGGTCAGGGGGTCACTCATGGGGACTGGCTTCCTCCTCACCTATGTCCTCACCTGGCTCTACTACACCAGGTGAGCACACCTGCCCGTCTCCAGGAAAGCCCAGTGATTGACCTCGCATTTCAGGACGAACCTGAGCCTGCTCTGCGTGGGGTCGGCGTGAAAGAGACCCACTGTGATCTGACACCTGGTTTGCTCTCAGGTGTGGAGGCCTCAGAGAAGCAGGGTTGACGTGAGCCGCCTTCCTTTTCACGACAAGACAGAAAGGTGGACATAGGGCCCAGAGTGACAGACATGAAGACAGTACCGTGGCTGCATCCCTAGAACCACGTGGTCAACACTCCCACCCACTACCTACCTCACTGCCCCACAGACTGTCCCCATCTGTCCCTGACTCCCTCACCCCACTCACTCCTAAACTAATAGACTAAAATGTCTCAGTTCCCTCCTGACCCCAGCCCCCAGTTGAGTGGTTGAAGAAATAACTCTAAAACCACAAATACTGCCATGGTTAAAATCCAGTTTCTCATCTCCCAAACTTTGCTGTCAAGTTAGTGTCTCATAATTATTATAAAATACTACACAATGGATTTTTTTTTAAAAAAAAACTAAGCACAATACAATGTAAAAAAACCATCAATAAAACATTTTGCCCCAGATCTCAGCGGTACTTTTTAGAGCAAACTTTGTTTTGTTTTTTCACATTAAATATTTTTACATTATGATTTGAGTGTAATGCTTACAAAGCATATTGGGGCTTTTTAAATCAATTTATGCATCTATGTAAAGTATTAATTACAATATATGCAATGTCTAACTGTGCATTCATTTTCTATTGTTTGACTTCTTTTACATTTTTTTAATGCTTTGGATTTTTTTTAATTTAGGTTGTTTATTTTTCATCTCAATGAACATCTACAGAGATTTTGGGATTCCATTCATTCATTGTTGCACCCTTCTCGACTTCTTTTACTTTTTTACTGTGACTTAAGTGGAAGTTTACAAAGCAAATTGGCCTTTTCATTCACAATGATTTATATTTTGTTTTATAACATTAATCACAGTAGCCACAATACAATGCCACTTTCTCCACTCCTTCCCTGCAATTCTCATTTCCATCAATCCTTCTATCCTGCCTGTTTTGTTGTTTAATTATTGTTTTAATTAATACTATGGTATTTATTAACTTGTATTAAAATTAAACTTGTATAGGTAAGGTAGACAAATCTTAAGTGACTGTCTAGATGAATTTTCAAAATACAGATGCTTGCCACTGTGCAAGTTGGCAGCACCATGATAAATGGAGATGAGATTATTACCTTTCCCCCCAATACATGTGGAAGTTATGTATGTGATGCTCTCCCAAGATCTGATAAACTGAATAGTTTTAGAAAGATTAAGGATGGGATTCAACCATCCTCCATCTCATTTCAGCCCTTATCAGATGTAAAGAGAGTTCTCCTAGGGTGTAGCTTGTAATACCTTTTATGTCACTTAAGACAAAAGAGGAGAGGTAGCCAAAGGGTAGAACCTCATAACTCTCAAGAAATAATCATCAGATGTGGAGTGCTTCTTTTTGGATCCAAGTCCCTACTCCCTGAAGCTCCTTGACTCCAGAAAAGTCGCAGATGCACGGATATAGCCAAGTACACTTTTCCTTTACCCTGGCACCCTGAATTGGGATTTCTAGCCTCCTAATTTGTAAGAATTCAAACTCCAATATGGATTACATCTCAACATCGAGGGGAGAGAAAAAAAAATCCTCCCCATTAGACCAGTAGATGGAGAAAAGATTGAAGGTATTAACTATTTCATTTAACTTCAATCTACAACCAATGCCCATGGTAGCAGCAGTAAAAAAAATCAAAAGATGTGCTGTATAGCAGAAACCTATCAAGGACCTTGTCAAAGGGCTAAAAGGCAAAAATGTCCATTTAAGGACTAAAATGTGCCTGATGCAAGTCATGGTCTTCTCAATTGTTTCGTAAGCATCTGAAAGTTAGACAACGGATAAGGATGATCCAAGAATGAATGTTTTGAATCATGGTGCTAATGAAGATACTATCTCATGCACTTGCCAAAAGAAGAAACTAGTCCAAGTTGATAAAAGTGCAACCAGGATGCTCCTTAATAGCACAGATGGTGGAATTACATCGTATGTACTTTGAGCATGTTGTCAGGAGGGTACAATTCCTTGGGAGAAAAAAGATATCATTCTGGGAAAGATTGTTGTTAGGTGCTATCAAGTCACGTAAGACTCATAGCAACCCAATGAACCAAAGAGCTGAACCCTGTTCTATTCTGCGCCATCCTCACACTTCCTGACACGCAAGAGCCCACTGCGGTAGTCATCGTGTCAATCCAACTCATTGAGGGTCTTCCTCTCCTTCAACAAGATGATCTGACACAATGGGCTCGAGCATGGCAAAGACAAGGAAGATGGGGGTAGATGGGGCAAGGGTCAGATTTGTTGTTCCCAGGGTCGCTGTGAGTCTAGTTGGTTCGACAGCAGCTAACTGTAAGAGAATGTGTTTCTATCTGATAGAGACATCCACTTGTGACATCTCCGTCACACCACCATCAGAGACTGAAGATACTGGTATCACCTGAGCTTGACAAGAAGCTGCCTTCTCCTCATTTTATTGTAAATCTGGGTTTGGGCCATGGCCTCTGTACCCCAAGAGCAAATCTCAGGTATTATCCATACCCCTGCCTCATTATTTTTGCTTCTTCTTCACAGAACTATTAACATTTCTTTTACAAACCTCCCTGGCTCTTCTAGAGGGAGCTCTGGTGGCCTAGTGAGTAAGGAGCTGTGTTACCAGCTTAAAGGTAAGTAGTTCAGTTCTACCAGCTGCCCCAAGGGAGAAAGTCAAGTTATCTGTGACATTTACAGCCTCTGAAAACCCACTGAAGTGTCAGCTCTGAGTCTGTCTGGCACAATCACAATAATTGATGGGTTGGTTGGTTCTTGTAGGGAGTTAATATTTTAACTTCTGGAGAAGTAAATGCACTGGCCAATGAGACAAGTATGCCTCCAATCAGAGAGGTACTTTGTCTCCCATCTGACTACTCAGCAGTAAATGCTTCTCAGCCTGAGACGAGGCCAGAGACCTGGATGCCAACTGAAGCCCAACTGTTCCCCCTGCTGGCCAAGTTGCACGCTGCATCTTTGAAGTGTCCACAAGTCCGTAGTGGAAAAAGTTCCACCACACCAGCTTTTCTGTTACAGAACAATTTCAAGAAATTACAAAGGAAAAGGACATCACAGCATGATGGGATGGAAACTGTAAGACAACAGGAACCTAGGAAACATAATGAAGGGTGGGGGGAACAGTAAATAAACCGTATTGCTGACAGGTGACTCATGGCAACCTTAGGAACAACGTAACAGACTCTTAACCTATCCTACACCATCCTTACAATCTCTGATAAGCTGTCATGTTAGAGATGCGTCCACTGTTAACACTGTCACTGTGTCAGTCTGTCTTGTGGCAGGTCTTTCTCTCTTTCCCTGAAACCTCCACCTTTTCTAGCATGATATCTTCTTGTAAGGACTGGCCCCTCTTGATATCATACCCGAAGTATATGTGATCAAGTTTCACTATCCTCGCCTCTCAGGGGGATGTAGGCTGGTTGCATTTTCTCCAAGACACATTATCTGTTCTTTTGGCAATCCATAGGATATTCCATATTGTTCTGCAACACTCTAATTCAAAGGCATAAATTCTGGACGATGGAAAGGTAACATACAATAATCGAGCGATCAGCAGAATGCTATTCAATAAATCGGAATCCATGCACTCCACTCCTGGCAGTTCTTTCTTGATGGTAATGAGTCTTCTTCTGTGCCTCCCACCCAACTCACTCTTCACTTCTTCCTCTTTTAGGGAGGCAAAAACTGTTGTAGGCCACATGCCTGACATCAGATTAAAGTTGGGTTTTTTAATTTTTTTTTATTAGAGTGTGTGTGTGTGTGTGTGTGTGTGTGTGTGTGTGTGTGTGCCATCAAATCAGATATGACTGGTACAGGAGGAGATTGTCCCTCCTTCTCTAGCAGAGCATCTGATGGATTTGAACCGTGTACCTCTGGGATGGCAGTGCAGCTTCTTGCCACGAGGCCACCAGAGCTCCCTCAGATTAAAGTTATTATGGGATTGAGGAGTGCTGCTTCACCCCTCCCTGACTCCTCTTACAACAGTGTGATTTCTAAGATCATAAGAGATCATGAAACTGCTTCCACAGAATATCTCTACATACATGATTTTTTTTTTACTACTTTTTGTGTGTGTTCTGTCAAATTGGATCTGACTGGTACTGGAGGAGATTGTCCCTCCTTCTCCAGCAGAGCATCTGGTGGATTCGAACCGTGCACCTCTGGGATTGCAGTGCAGCTTCTTGCCACTAGGCCACCACAGCTCCCTTGAATTTTGTACTGAAAACATATTGAGTATTAAATTATATACAATTCAATCCATGACAGAGGATAATTATAGTATACTGGGCATCATGAGTTAGCTAAGTTAGTATATAGCACTGACCATCACAATATACTAAACTCATCATGTCCAATACTTATGCTGGATTTCCACTCCAAAGCTGCTCTCTCCACAGTCTTCTTCAGTTCAATAAATGTTAACCCCACTTTCCAGCTCCTCAGTCTATAGATCTTGTGGTTATCCATATGTCTTTCTCCCTCTCTTACACCCGACAGCCATTAGAAATCTGCTTTGAGCATATTTTCAGGAGGAACCAGTCTTTGGAGAGAGACGTCTCACTAGGAAAGACAGAGAGTTGGTAAAGAGAGGAAGCTTTTCAATGAGTTCAACTGACATGGTGATTAGTGCCATAAGCTTGACCATGACATTGATCATAAAGATGGTGTAGGATAGAGCAAGGTTCAGATCAACTGTTCCTAGAGTCACTATGAATGTGAGTTGTAGTCGACTCAAAGGCATCATTTCGTCCTTTCCTCTCCTTTCCATCCTGTTTCCCTTCCTCTCATGCTCAGTAGACACGTCTACCCAAATCATGAGGGGCAGAAGAGCAAGGTGGATATTTGTGTGGAGAGGTAACATGAATTAAGGTGTCTCAATCATGGGTGAGGAGAACCGCCCCTCTGTGATTTTAGAGTGTTAGATCTTCAGCCTGGTGAGGAGGGCATTAGTATGGTGAAGGTGACCCAGGATGGAAGTCAGAGCTTAAGCAAATTAATAAAAGGGTCTTTGGAGAGAGA